TGTGATAGCATAGTTTTTCTCAGTGGCCTGAAAATAGTTGGTGTAATTAAAGTAATGGGAGTTAAAGTGGTACCTCAGTCTCTCTCTCTCTCTCTCTCTCTCTCTCTCTCTCTCTCTCTCTCTCAAGGTGAAATGTACAGCTATAGCATCAGCCTACAGCCAGGAGCCCAGCAGCCTCTCAGCTTTTTTTGTCCAGGTCTCAGCCCTTTTGGGCTCTTTGCATCTTACCCTTTTTAACTACTACTCACTGAGGAGCTGCTGCTACATTTTGAAAATTTCTCAGTGTTTATTAGAAAAGTGCCCCTTGTTTATTTGGAACACCACACGTAGCACCTGCACTCACCTGAGTGGGCAAGCAGGTGCTGTAGTTTTACAAATACACCACTGATGCCACTTCTCCCGAGCGTGTCTCAGAATTTTCTAGGACAGACAGATTTAGGGTCCATGCCTTACTGGACAAAACACTAAACTGTCAACAGTCAAGATGCAATTCTTTTTTAGCCATTGTAAGAGGGAGTGAATATATCACTACTGGGCGCCAGTTGTTTTTTGACTAAAAATTGCCAACTGGACCTTATTGGAGCAGGACGACAAAGCTTTTCCTTGTAAGCAGACTGCCTGTGCCCTGTTTTGCTCCTTCACTGCCACGGGATGATCTCAGTGCTGTACCTTAGAGATGCCTCCTCCCCAGGCAGCACGTGCTGAATCAATGTCTGGCTTCAGGTGGGGGGGGGAAATGTTTCACATGAAACCGGTAAGTTCCACTCAGCCAATTCACGTCACCCTGAAATGGAGACGGTGGTGACAGACTTCAGCTTACAGGTTCTCACCAAATCCTACCTTCCGTTCATCCAGAATTCTTGCACTAATGGGTTTCCATCACATCATGTCTTTAAATGGGTGCACTTTATTGTTTGAGTTTGTAACTCTGATAAATACTGGATATTTAAGTGTGAGTAATGTCTTCATTAGAAAATAGCAAAACCACCCTTGTCTTTTAGTGTATTTTTCAAGGGGAAAAAAAAAAAAAAGGAAAGCAAGCAAGCAGTGGATCACAACATATATAGCACAAGAAATAACTGTTGTATATAAGCATCAAAAAGATTAAGAGTTTTTAAATACAAAAAAATATTTGCCGTGATTTTAAAGTGCTTTTCCAGCAATTTTCTTAGGGACTCCTGAGACATGGTTACTTTATTTACTGGATCAGTAAGGCACACAATTAACAATTAAAAATTAATGTTTATTTACAAAGTAAAGGGAAAACCTGTGTAACATGAGAATTTGGCATGGACAAAATGGAGACCATTTTGTATCTGCTGTTGTATCTTGTCCGGGTTGCAGACGTGCGCTATTAAAAGTCCCAAGTTAATAGAGCACAAACCCTTCTTGTTCCTCTCCCATGTGCCCTTCTTTCTAGATGTGTTTAACTTAAACTCGAAGGCTCAGGAAAATTCCACTAATTAGAATCATGTACAGTACCCCAGGTCGTTGTCCAGAGATAACAAGTTTGCTAATTTAGTTAAGCCTGGATTATTGTAAACAGAACAGCTTAGAGAAAGGTATTCTAGGTCCTTATATTGTATAGTAGTTTATGAACCCCCTCTCTAAATATTGGTATTTTTATATTCCAGAGATGTACCCAACAGAAAAATTAATCAGTATCTAATTTAATATCCATAAGTATTTTCCTTAGATTTTAGTCGACAGTGGGTTTTTGTGGATGTCACCTTGCTTCACCATACTTTACCACTAGGTGTCACTGTGGCTCTGCACCAGGCTTGTCTGGTAGCAGAGAACGGCAGCATCTCTGGAGGAGCGACATCCAGGCCAACAGACAGGCCCATAGGCTCAAGAGGGTTCGAGAAGGAGGGAACAAAGGCCTGGAAAGGGGTCTTCACACATCTGTGCCAGATGTGGCGAGATAAGCTCTTTGAACACTACCTGCTTTGGACCTTCAGCCAGGCAGAGGCTGGGGGAAGGCTGACCAGAGCCCCCTTTCTCTGGTGGATGAATGGGTGTGCAGAAGACCCATTTCTTCCCCAGGAGCATCCCTCTCAGTTAATCTCGGCCTCCAACTTTTATAACTCCAGAGGTGTCACGGTTGGATGGTTTGATTCAAAGATAGTTATTTTTCTCCTGCAGAATTGCCTTGGACAAAACCAGTTGCTTGCTGAATCTTTGCCACAAAATGGAACAGGCTCCCCAGGGGGCAGGATGTACCCACCCCATCCCAGCCTCTCCCGCCTTGCCTGTCTGTCCCGGGGCTGCCCCCTTCTCGAGAAGCTACCCTGCAGAGGCAGCCTGCAGCTGCTCCCACACCAGGCCTGTGCCACCCGGTTGCGTGTGCACTGGGGCGGGTGTGTGGCTTTCTCTTCTTCTCTAGGAATTCCAGACTGACCAGCAGCTACCATGACTGGCAACAGTGAACAAAGGGCTTAGGGGTAGGAGCTACCTACAAAGACGTGTCATGGAAACCTTCACCATGCAATGCCTTGAACTCAGCTCTGGCTGCTCCCAAGAAGAGGTGGCTGGCTGGGGGCCTGGACACAAGCACAATGGGGCTGGTGGAGCCACTGTGCAGAGCTACTTGAATAATCACTGGGTCTTCTTCAACTTTTATAACACAGACCACTCAAGGGCTGAAGTGCTGGTAACCTGCATTTCGGTGTCCAATGCCTCACAGCAGCTGAACCACCCTGAGATGCTTGTGGCCAGCTGATGGCCACAGTCAGAGCTTTGAAAGTCAGTACCAAATGAATGCGTAATTGGACACCAAAAATCAAGTGTTACTTTCATGTTTCCTCACCCGTATCCTCTCATTTCTTCCTGC